CAACCTAGCACATGGTACAAAGTTTGGCAGCAGTGTGGCTTCCCGGTAGACTTTTCCTGGCAGGCTCTTCTAACCTGCTGGCTCCCTTGCTCAAGTACAAAGCGCAAGTCCTCCAGGGCACCAACATTTAGATGAACAAAAGCGTCGCTTGCACACACGATCTCAGACTGAATGTATATAGTTGACCATATGGATGTAGTTTCTTTATTGCAAATCATTTTCCCATATATAAAGAAGGGAACGGGGCTGGAGAGATGGCTCAGAGGTTAAGAGCATTGCCTGCTCTTCCAAAGGTCCTGAGTTCAATTCCCAGCAACCACAAGGTGGTTCACAACCATCTATAACGAGGTCTGGTGCCCTCTTCTGGCCTGCAGGCATACACACAGACAGAATATTGTATACATAATAAATAAATATTTAAAAAAAAAAGAAGGGAACGATGGGCAAATATGAGCAAAAGGACTTTGTTCATTTACAGTAGTATCACCTCTTACATTACAACAGAAGCCCTCGGGGTGTGTGAGGGGGGGAGACTCCAAGAGTCTGACTACTTGAGGTTTGCTCTGCTCCTTTTCCGTCTCAGTTTGAGGAGCAGCGCCACTATTCATCTTTCCATTCCGCCTCTTTTCCTTTCTGTGAGTGAGTTATTAAATTCCTTCCTGAGAGCAGATTTTGTTGGGGGAAAGATGGCTGTGTGAGGGATGTAAAGAGGACAGAGCCATGAAAGGGCCCTAAGAACATATCACCTGCTTTTTCCAAAGCTTTCTGTCAATCTTTTTATTGCTATCCTCAGAGGCTTTGTCCAGTCAGAATCTAGCTGTTACCGCCTGGCATCCATCAAGTACTGTTTCCCCGTGCGGTGTGCTTCAGATACAATCTCCACTCTCTCAACAACTTCTTGATTAATGGAGACAGTCCATCTCCAAGGACAGCCGGCTTCTAGCAGGGCCCCTGTCTTCTTCCCTTTAGCCTGTCATTTGCAGATGAAGGGCAATTAACAGTGTCCTGGCTACTGCTGCCGCTGACAGACCTGCACCTGGCGTGCAGGGAGAAAGGACGGAGTTGTCCGTGAGAGGAACACATATTTCAGAGGAAGATTCGACTGACAATGTAGATGTGTGGGTTGCACACTACCTGAGAATGCCTGTCAACACCACACTTCCTGAGAGACTAGACCAGCACACCCCACGTTTTCCAATTTATGTAGAAGCTGTGTCAACCTGCCAAGTCCTGGGCCTGCTGCACTAAAGAAAGTGCTTCGCTCTAATCCATTAAGTTCAGTTTTCTCCGAGGGTGGGCCTGCCATGGCTGGGAGTCTGAGACCTTGAAGATGACAGGACTCTTGGTCATTCTACCACCCTGTATCCAGGGACAACAGACCAACAGGCTAAGATAGACATCCTCCCGGTCCTCCCACTCCTTCCTTTCTATTTATCCCTCCTGTCTAGTCCTTCCTTCCCTCCCTCTCTCCATCCCTCCCCCTTCCTTCTTTTTCCTTGCTTATTCCTTTGTTTTGTTTCATTTTAGTTCTTTGATAATACTGGGAAATTACTATATATACAACATAAAGAGAACACAGGAAAAATTTATGTATTCATACTCAAAAAGCAAGCCTCAGATATATCCCTTAAATCCCACACTTGGGCACCCATGAACACCTCTGGTTCAAACTCTCACCCTCTGGACTTTGAGTCTAGGTCCACACTTCTACTGGCCACGTTTTCTTTTGTCCCAGCAGTGCCTGTGACCTCTACACCCACATTTTCCACAAAATCAAGCTGAGTTTCCACGTTTTCCTCCCCCTTTCTCTTGCTTTGGGGCTGCACTGTTTTTCATCTAGCATGTGACTAACTTCCCTGTCATCCCCCTCTGCCACGTGACCGATCCAGCAGCCTGCTAGGACTGTCTCTATGGAGCGTGGAAAGAGCTATTTAATGCTTATATGCAATTCATCTTCAGTGGCTCAAGGCCCAGATGCAGACAGCGGCAAGCCCTTCGCATCTGAGCTCCTGTCCCTCTTGTGGAGAAGGGGCTTACCATGGTGTAGTGCAGCTGTTGGAGTCTTCACAGCCAGCCCTGTGTGTGAGCTCTGGCTCTTTAGCTGCTGTCCCTTCTGTCCTGGGGTCCAGAGAAAGAGCTGGCCTCTCGGGGAGAGGACGGTGCGCACATGCATCAGCCATGCACAATTGACTCCAGAATTGTCTGATATCTAAAGAGCCTTGAGTCAGCTGGGCTTGGTGGGAAACTCCTGCAATCCCAGTGCGGTGGTTTGGATGAGAATGACCCCCAAAGATTCATATTTGAGTGCTTGGACTAAAGTTGGTGGAACTGTTTGGGAAGGCTAGGGGGTGTGGCCTTGTTGCAGGAGGTGTGTCACTGGAGGTGGGCTTTGAGGTTTAAAACCTCCACACTATTCCTAGTTAGCTCCCACTTCCCCCCTCTGCCTCAGGATCAAGATGTAAATTCTCAGCTACTTTTCCAGAGCCAAGCCAGCTTGCTGCCATGCTCCCTGCTGAACTCACCCTCTGAAACTGAAAGCGATCCCCCAGTTAAATGTTTCTCTTGGGCTTGGCACTGTATCCCTTCACAGTAATAGAAAAGTAACCAAGGCATCCAGCATTCCAAATGCTAAAGCAGGACTGGACCATTTCCCTGGCATCAAGACAGAACTGGCTACATAGCAAGATCCTATCTCAGAACCACAAAAGCAATGCCTGTAACTTAGTAGGTATCAAAAAGGAAGATTCTGAAAGTCCTTGGATAGGCTGATTGGTATGAAAAGAGGGGCTGACTCATTGAATCACATTAGCAAAAATGTTCAGTTTCTCCCTGTCCTTAGGCCACCAGGTAATAAAGGCAGGAAAGTATATATACTTAATTCTACTGACATAGAATTAATGGTGAGTTGAAGTGGAATTTTGGGGAAACTGGGAAAGGAAAGTGAAGATTCCACCCGCCTGTTCTCGTGGCCTCCATTGCCACTTCCTTCTGGAACTGCCAAAAAAAAAAAAAAAGAAAGAAAGATGCTACAGCCCAGCTGGCCCTCCAGGGAATAAAGACTTCCACAGCCCCCAGGCACCCCTGCTAGGGGCAGTTCAAGAGGATCTAAGATCCTGGGAGCCCTTTGGTCCCTGCCATGGAGAACAGTCATGGAGGGAGGGTCCAGAAGGATGGGACTCCTTGTGAGCTGCTGCCTGCCGTTTCTCACATCCCAGCACTCGCCCTCTCCCCCCCACAGATTTTTGTTCCCTCCCCTGGGTCTCTGGACTCCCTCCTCTGAGGCTAGACACTCCTTCCACAGCAGCTATATACCCTCCTCTGGCAGTTGCCATTATTCCAACATGCATTTTCTTCTTTTTTCTTTTCTTTCTTTCTTTTTTTTTTTTTTTTTTTTTTTTTTTTTTTTTTTTTTTTTTTTTTTTTTTTNTTTTTTTTTGAGACAGGGTTTCTTTGGAGCTTTGGAGCCTGTCCTGATACTAGCTGTTGTAGACCAGGCTGGCCTCAAACTCACAGTGATCCACCTGCCTCTGCCTCCCAAGTGCTGGGATTAAAGGCATGCGCCACCTCCACTATAGCTCTCTACTCCCTCCCTGCAGCCCCAGATGAAGGCAGCAGGCAGCAGTCTCCCAGCTCCGCCTCCCTTTCTATTTTCATCTTGGAGCTGAAGGGATCCTGGGGCACATGAAGGGGCTAGGTGGCATTCCCAAAAGAAAGTCAGTTCTTTTCAGAAAGCAGAGGGCAGAGGGCCAGCTGCAGGCAGGATGGGGTCCTGGTGACTTCGGAGCCAGTGGGTGGTGGGGCCTGAGTGAATGGGGGTGGCAATCAGGGTTTGTTGTGACTGGAGGGACATGAGTCAGGGGAAGGAAAGTCCTGCTTTGATGCTTTGAACGGAGGAGAGAGAGGGCTTGCCAGACCACAAAAGAACAGGGCCAGCTAACCTACTTTCAGTCACCAAAAGCAGAAGGCATGGAGGAAGGCAAGTGGAAACTGGACAGGGGCGTCAAGGGAGATATGAGTCCAGTGACCAAACAGCAGAGTCCGCCTCTGTTCCTGCAGCTCTGCTCTTCCCCAAATCTGTGAGTCTACATAAAAGGAGACAGAGACCGCAAAGGGAACCCGGGGCCAACATGGAGGGAGCCTTCCCATTGATGGAAGAGGAGAGCACGCCTCAGAAGTAGCATTGTCCATTACAACTACCAAAGCTGGGGCATCCCTGGCACCACGATGCGCCAGTGATAAAACCCCCACAACTGTTTCTGAGACAGTCAGAGAGGACAAACTGGGACTCCTGCCTAGCTCATCCCAAGACAGGGATTCCTTACCTTTCAGCCCACAGGAATCTTTGGGGGAAAACATTTTCTATCAGCAACCCTTATCTATCTGCAGATAACTGTGCAAGCAAAATGTGGAGTAACCAAACAATGGAATATCATTCAGCCTCCAAAAGGGCAGGGATTCTACAGCGTGGGTGACCTTTCATGACATCATGCTTATGACTGCACCCATAAAGAAGGGAAGACACTGTGTGATTCCATGTGTATGATGCATCCAATGTAGTCAAAAATTACAGACTCAGAGAGTAGAAAGTGGCCAGGGGTTGGAAGAGCAAAGAGCCATTTATGAATGGCTAAAGGGTTTCGTTTTTCACCAGGATAAAGTTCTAGAAATGGGTGTTGAGATGAGTGTATGGCAATGTGTGTGTGTTTAATGCCACTGAGATGAATATTTCATAATTAAGGTGGTAAATTTAATGCTACCTGTACATGTTCTCTCTCCACGCATACACACAATGCACATCTATATCTATCCATATCTATTTGTCTATATCTATATAGACAGACAGATAGATGTGTGTAAAATCTTCCAGACACTATCTCTATAGTCAATGCTGAAAGGGTCCCCTGAAATAAAGCCACAGGGTCCTGAATTTTCTATGGCCCTTTGCCCTCTCACACCACATGTGTAACTGCTTTTATTTTTTTTTTCTCCTAAAACTTAAGGACACAGAAGAAACGGGGAGCAAGATGAAGACAGAGCTATTGTGGGCACTGCTGCTTTGTGGAGTGGTCTTCACATTGCCTGGTCAGGTGGGTCCGCCTCCACACCTCACCCCATGGGGCCACCCAGCTGAAGATGTTCATGGTGCGACCCAATGTTCATGCTTCCCCCAAGCCGGTCAGGTTGGGAGAAGCTCCCAGGAATAATCACAGGCACACCGCTCACACTCCCCTCTGGTAGGATATTTAGGATTCAAATCCCAGGGGCAGAACGCGAGCATGTCTCTGACCGAAAAGTTCTTGATGCCGCATCTATGCCTTTGACGGTCTTCTTTAGAGCCGTTTTGGTCAAGAATGTGTACAAGAGTGTAGGGTGGCACACATTTGCAGCCCCGCCAGCGAGCAGGGTGAGGCAGGAAGATCACATCTTTGACATCAACATAGGCTTCAGAGAACCAAGGGCCGGGGTGAAGCTCAGTGGTGAAGAGCTCGCATAGGGCCCGGCATATGGTCCCCAGCCCAGGGGAAAAATCTGTATTTGAGTGCATCCATAGTGTACTAAGTAAGGACAGGCATCATGAACTACCGAAGTAGGGGGACAGAAGCTGCACCCACTTTCCAAAACCTCGCTTCCACACGGGGCACTGTGTAAGGCCAAATGGGCAACACCTGGGCATGAGATTTTTTAGAGAAGAGAACATCCCTTGGCTGCATAAAGGATGCAATGAGCTGCAGCCTCCCCATCCATTCTGGAGTCCACTATCCCTACGCCACTACTTAAATTTAAAATGACCTAAATAGAGTTGGAATTTTGGTTCATCGGTCACACTAGCTACATTCCAAGCAGCCTGTGGCCACGTGGGATTAGTGACTACCGCATTGGACTACACAAATCGGTAGCATTTTTGTTATGCCCAGAGCCCTTCTAGTGGCACTGGGTTTGTAGAAAGAGCGGAGACTTGACAAAACGGGAAGAAAATGGCTCTCTTCCTGGGTCATCTCCTGAAGGGGGCGCTCCTGAGAAGGTGGCTCCTGATTGGTCGTCAGGGAAGACTCGGGTTGGTCTTAGCAGCCTCCGCTGACTCCTTCTCTATCCTGGTTTCTTTGCAGGGAGTGCGCCACAGGTTCAGAAGAGGAGCCCGATCCTACAAAGGTGAGGGGTGGATGGGAAGGCAGGCCCAGGTCTCCCAATGCTTTTGACTGTCGGGAGATTCCTCTTCACCCGGTACCGGCTGGCAGGATGATTATGAGATCTTTCTGGGTGCTTTTGTGGAAATGCTTGCTTACTCGCCATTAGTTAGCTGGAGCCTGCCAGCCCAGTTCCCAGGAAAACCTAATCAGGCTGTCCCCGGGGTTAATAATGCTTGTGACATATAGGTGCATCTGGGTGGTGCATGTCTGTAATCCCAGCACTTGGGGGCTGAGGCAGGAGGATCGTGGATTCAAGGCCAGTCTGGGCTGCACAACCAGACCCTGTCTCCACAAGGCTCAAAGTATTAGATACAGAGATGAGAAAACAGCCGTAAAGGAGTAGACGACTCACCTCGACTGCCAGAGGACCCCCAGCAGAACCCGGGAACGCATAGCTGCCCACTCCTCTAGGTGCCCCTGAACTGTGGGCTCGCCAGTGCCCACTCAACCTCTGCTTCTATCCCCACGTTTCCATTGCTCCCTGCTGGTAAAATCGGGATAGCTGACCTGGGCCACCCCATAGTCGCTTTGGAAGGAGATTCTCTATATGAGTTTGTGTCTTGAGTTGATTCTAGAAAGCAGAGGTTTCCACCAGGAGTCCAAGAGGAGTAAAGACTGTCCACAACTGACCGCCTTGACTTGAAATCAAAGGTCTCTAAGTCCAGCTTCAGGTCCCTACCCCCCCCCTCGTTTCTATCTCTCGCCCCCTCCTTCCCTCCCTCTTTCTCTCTCCTCACTCCCTCTCCCCCAACTCTCCATCTCTCTCTTCTTTGTCTTTCCCTGTTCCCCTCCTTCTCCCTTCCCCTCACTCTTTCTTTTGTGGAGCTGAGGAGGCATTAGACCTTTCTCTCAATCTCGTTTTATTTTCTTTTTAATTTTTTATTTTTATGATATTTTGTTTGTTTGTTTTTGGAGATAGAGTCTCATTATACAGCCCAGTATAGACTGGGATTGGCCACGTGACTAATGCAGGCCTCAAACTCAGCAGCAATCCTCCTGTCTCAGCCTCCTAAGTGCTGAGATGACAGACTGTACCACCACGCCGAGCTTTGGAACACCGCTTTAAATTCCGGAGAACAAATAAAGGGGTCCAGTGTCCCGAGACTGTCTCTTGTGGTGCTTTTGAACTCCTGTTTTTGGTAGAGAAAGGCACCGGAGCAGAGGCTAGGCGTCTGCAGAAGGAAGCAGCTCCGCTCCTGACGCTCCTGACGTGGCCTAAGAGGAGAGCCTGGCTCCAGCTGAGATGCTGTCCCTCCTGTAGGTCTAGCCTCCTCTTTGTGGATAACAGTTCTTGCCTGGGTGGGGCTTATCCGTCCTGCAAAGTTCTGTTGTTACTGTATCTATCCGTCCTGCAAAGTTCTGTTGTTATTGTATCTATCTGTCCTGCAAAGTTCTGTTGTTACTGTATCTATCCGTCCTGCAAGGCTCTATTGTTACTGGAAGCCAAGGCGATTGCAGGCTTAGGAAAGTGACAGGAGATCTTTAGGCAGCTTTTGGAATCTGGAGCCTCAGATCCTCTATCTTTGTCCCGTCAGCTTGAAGAAGAATAGAATTCCTTTGGTGTCAGCTGGTGTTTTGGGTGGACACTGCATGAATGATATACCTCGGCGGAGTCAGTGTCTGACGCAAAGGAGGCAGACAAAACACAGACAGAGGTGCCGGCTCCCACTTGCTTGCAGTTTCCCCTCGGTCCACGTCAATATTGTTTTAGAAAAGTGGTGGCTAAATGCCAGCTCAATTTTCATTACATGAGAAATACTATAGAAAGTAGCACATTTTCTCACAGACGTAGGTGCCAGTTTCCCTTACTTTAGTCCAAAGTGTGTCTTTTCTGAATGGAACTACCCTATGGATTAGAAACGTTGATAGTCACTTACACAGAGAGGTATCCTTTTCCCTGAGTTTTGTTTGTTTGCTTGCTTCGTTTTGTTTTGTTTTTCAAGACAGGGTTTCTCTGTGTAGCCCTGACGGTTCTGCAACTTGCTCTGTCGACCAGGCTGGCCCTGAAGCCAGAGATCAGGCTACCTCTGTCTCCTGAGTGCTGAGATTAAAGACGTGTGTTCCCCACATTACTTTTAGCCGATTACAGTGGGAAAATAGACTGTTACTTCACATAACTTTGTTTTCATAATCAAATTATCTCAAAACAAAAGTTTCTCCAAGGAAAAGAATCCTAATAAAAGCATTCTAGTTAAAAAAAAAAAAGTAACTATTGCTACCGTCATCATATTCTTCAGGGATACACAGTAGACCACAGTCACCCAGATCTTCTGGGGATTAACTGTAGACCTCATGACAGAGCACAGAGCTACAGAGGGTTCACTGTGTGTTGAAAACAGGTCAGGAACAATGACGCTGTCCCCTCTCCTTGAGTCTGTCCTGACAAGACAAGCCTGTTCTGTATTGCAGTGACCTGCAGAGATGAGCAAACACAGACAACGTACCAGCAGGATCAGTCGTGGCTGCGCCCCATGCTCAGAAGCAATCGGGTGGAATACTGCCGCTGCATCGGTGGCTTGGCGCAATGTCACTCGGTGCCTGTCCGAAGTACGTACCAGCTTCTCACGGAGGCCTCACACTTGAGCCCGGGCTCAGGGCCCAAACCCTTCCTTGTGGTTCCTGACATATTCAGGTCTTCGGCACGTTTTGGGTGTGCTCTGTCCAGGCAAAGGTGAAAACAGTCCAGAAAACTGAGGTGGGGGAGAGCCTTGGCTTGTCCAGCCTCAGAGTCTACATATGTGAAGTGGGGAATAATATGCACACTGCATACTTCGTGGTTGGCATTGGGACTAGTTGTACTGTGAGCTGTGGAACGGGGGCGACATAACCAACACTTTTGCAATTTTAATTCCTATATTCTTGGAGCTGCTTTGAAGGTAGCTAAGGGTTTCCTTGTTTCCGCTCGACAGGTTGCAGTGAACCAAGATGCTTCAATGGGGGTACATGTCAGCAGGCTATGTATTTCTCTGACTTTGTCTGCCAGTGCCCTGATGGATTTGTTGGGAAACGCTGTGACATAGGTGAGCACTTTGGTGGGCGGGCGTGAGCTGCTCTGACATTCTGACATGTCTGTTCTGACAGAACTGACCAGGAAAGGAGAGGAAGTGTGTGCTGGAGGGCAGGGTACAGGAGAGGAGAGATGACGTCATTTAGGGACCAACAGTATTGGGCCACGTGACAGAGCCTGACGTGTCCATCCACAGTCTAGCTTGGCCACAGTGATTCGAGTGACCCTGTCCACCCAGCTCACTACGGGCTCCAATGGCTTCAGCAGTCAGCCTGCCCCACTGTGCTGCGACAAGACAGAGTTTCCTTGAGAGCCTGTTGGTGTCCTTTTGTCAATCAGATACCAGAGCAACGTGTTTTGAGGACCAGGGCATCACCTACAGGGGCACGTGGAGCACAGCAGAAAATGGGGCTGAATGCATCAACTGGAATAGCAGTGTTCTGTCCCTGAAGCGCTATAATGCAAGGAGGCCGGATGCCATCAAGCTGGGCCTTGGGAATCACAATTACTGCAGGTAAGCAGTGTCTTCCACAGTGGGATGTGTGCATGTGTGTGTGTGTGTGTGTGTGTGTGTGTGTGTGTGTGTGTTTGTGTGTGTGTGGTGTCTGATATGAAAATTACATTCAAAGAAAGACCTGGCCAACCAGTCACGTATTCTAGAAAAGCAGAGCTGATGACCCTTAGACAGGTAGATAATTAGATAGATATATAGGTACATAAATGCATACATAGATAATGTGTAGATGGGTAGAAAGATGATAAACACATATGCATGCATAGGAAGATAAATAGATGATAGCAGTAGATTTATCAATGCATTCCTATATCAGTGACTGTGAGATTGACACATGGATGGTAGATGGGGAGGTAGGTAGATAGAAGAGGTTGATCTGAAGGTATCACTTCATATCTCTGTGTAGGTATCTGAGTTTGTAATCGTGGGGCAGCACTCAGGCAGGAATTGCCATTGATGCTCTTAGGCCTTAAACTGACTAGACAAAGGGCACCCTCCTTTTCTGGGATAATTTGAACTGATTGTGGCTGTTGGCCACAAGACAGGGTTTCTCTGTGGATTTGGAGCCTGCCCTGGAACTAGCTCTTGTAGACCAGGCTGGTCTCGAACTCACAGAGATCCGCCTGCCTCTGCCTCCCAAGTGCTGGGATTAAAGGCGTGCGCCACCGGCTACAAAACGTCTTTATAGCAGCGCTTGGATCGCTGTTGAATTCCGTGCCTGTGACTATAGGTCAGCTGTGTTGACACGCGGGCAGTGATTGTGCACCCCTGACAGCTTGGCACCCTTACACGCTTCCTTATAATGTGCTTAATCCCTCCAGTAAAGAGCACAGTGGAGTCAGATTTCTGCCTAACACGGTAAAACTTGACAGCGTTCAACCCAGGATGCACTAACCCTGACCCAAAAGCACGCCTAGTCCTTGGGCCAGGAGGGGAGGCTTCCTGCTCAGCCCTCAATGATACTCCCTTGCTGTTTTTTCAGAAACCCAGACCGAGACTCCAAGCCCTGGTGCTATGTGTTTAAGGCGGGGAAGTATACCTCGGAGTACTGCAGCACACCAGCTTGCCCTAAGGGTAAGTGACAGCTACCCTGTGCCTTCCCCAGCAGTATCCCCAAGGGAGAAGTGTCTGGGACTGTAAATCTAACAGTCTTTCATGCCCAAAAAGAAAGGAGCAGGCTAGGAGGTAGTTTTGGCCGCAGAGTGAAGCGCACCACACGGCTACATCCTCATCCAGCTTGCCTTGGGCTGGTTCCCTTCCTCCCGTCAGCACCCTCATTTGAAAAGCACAGAATGCAGCTGAACCCATGGTTTCTAGTCCTTTCATTTTTGAGATTATAATCACATCATTTTCTCCTTTCCTTTCCTGTCTCCAAACCCTCCCGTGTACACTTTGTTGCTCTTTTTAAAATCCATGGCCTCTTTTTTCATTAATTGTTGTTACATGCATATATATATATATATATATATATTACTATATATAATTCACATATATATATATATTCCTAACATTAGTTACTTGTACGTATATTTTCAAGGCTATTTGGTACTGACAACCAATTGGCATGTTCTTCCCTGGAGAAGACTGTATTCCCCATTCTTATCATTCCTTCTTTGCCTGTAGTTCTCTGTGCAGGGTTGAAGCCTTGTGGGCTTTCTCCCATCGCTTGGCAGGTCTGTTGTTCTTGTCTAGGCAGTCGTGTTGGTCAGACTTGATGAACGGAGCCTCTGACGTCACTAGGAAATGCATTCTTAAAGCAAACTCCCGGACCCTCTGGCTCTTACACTGTCTTCCCGCCCCTTCTTCCAAAATGATTGCTGAGCCTTAGGAACAGCATTTGTATCCACCGGGATTGGCCTCCACAACCCTTCATTTGGATTGGTTGGGGTTTTTCTTTCTAAAACGGTCTCTCCATCTGTTCTGAAGAGAAGTTTCCCTGGTGAGGTGCCAGGACTACACTTACCTCTGGATATAAGGACAGATATTTAGAACGTAGTTAGGGATTGTGCTGATTTAATAAAGGAATAGTTTATAGGCTCCCCTCCAAGGTCCATGACTTCAATAGCCCTGGGTAGTTGGCTAGGTTTCCAATACCAGGCATGGTTTCTCTTGCTGGTCAACATTAGGGTTCAAGGATCAAGATAACTTTACAGGTTCCTCTCAGCTATAGTGAAGTAGAGAGACAAACTCATCAGTTTCACACAGAGGGGAAGAAGGGCAGGAGGGCAAAGCTGAGGAAGCAGGGCTGCCAGCGTGGTCCCATTGCAGCCTCCTGGTTCCCTCGTCACGGGCTACAACCTCTCTAATACCTTCACAGCATCTCCCAGCACCAACTCCACTGGCAGGACACACCCCTTCCTGCTGAACCTCTGCAACCTGCTCCACCAACATTTAACCGCTGTGGCTTAACCCTGAGATGTATTCTGTTCCAGGACAAAGCGAAGACTGTTACGTTGGAAAAGGGTTGACCTATCGTGGCACCCACAGCCTCACCACATCCAGGGCCTCCTGCCTCCCGTGGAATTCCATGATCCTGATACGCAAGAGCTACACAGCATGGAGGACCGACTCACAGGCACTCGGCCTGGGCAGACATAATTATTGCCGGTATGTAGCCATGAGCTAAGGGAGTCAGCTCCCAGCAGAGATCTGGGTGATCAGGTGGGAGAAGATTCAGTGTTAAGCATTACATGAAAGATAATGAACAATATCTAGACAAGCCTGTTAGTTTTCTATGATTAGACTTATTTTTTAATATATAAACCTTTTTTAATTTTTAAAGATTTACTTATGTACATGATGCTCTATTTGAAAAGCACACTTGCATGCCAGAAGAGGGCATCAGATCCCATTAGAGATGGTTGTGAGCCACCATGTGGTTGCTGAGAATTGAACTCAGGACTGTTGGAAGAGCTGCCAATGCTTTTAACCACTGAGCCATCTCTCCAGCCCTAGACTTATTTTTTGAGAAACAAGATAATATCAGTTTTATTATTTTGGGTGGGAGTGGAGTGGAGTATGTGTGTACTTGTTAGTGTGGGTGTATGCACATTCATGAAGATACATGTATACATACATGATGTGTGTGTGTGTGTGTGTGTGTGTGTGTAGCTTGAGGTTGGCATCAGGTGTCTTTCTTATCGATCTCTGCCTTTATCTTTTGAGTCAGAGTCTTTTGCTGAATTTGAAGCTAATGTATTAGACTGTGCTGGCCAATGCACTTCCGAGACCTGCCCTCTGCCCCCACTGAGATTACAAGAGCAGGTTGCCATGCCTGACTTTTTTTTTTTTTTTTCTCAGACAAGGTCTCACTATGTAGCCCCGGAATGCCTGGAACTATGTAGACAAGGCTTGCCTGGAACTTAGGGTGTAGGCAGAGACCTGCCTGCTTCCGTCTCCTGGGTGTTGGAGTGAAAGGAGTGCTCCTCCACACCCAGACCTGCTGGCTTGTATGTGAGTTCTGGAAACTCAGACTCAGGTTCTCATGCTGATGCAGCAGGCACTTTACCAACTGAGCCATCTCCCCGGCCTAAGATATATAGATTTTGCGAACCAAACCCCTATTCTTTTTGCACTTGGCACATCCATTAGGTTCTATCGTAAAAATCTCTCCACAGGGCAGCTCCTTTCTTCCCAACACTGTGTCACTAGTAGAACAAATGGAAGCCAAAAGGAATTATCTTCCCTCATGGTGGGCCTGCTAGAGTCAAGTGGAGTATGGGATGTCTACTTCGGGCTTCTTGGTTCTGCCATGGGCCTGCCTAACCTCCTCCTAGTCCTGAGATGTGACTGTCACTGAAACTCTCCAATTCTTATTTCACAGGAATCCAGACGGGGATGCCAAGCCTTGGTGTCACGTGCTGAAGGACGGAAAGCTGACGTGGGAGTACTGTGACGTGTCCCCGTGCTGTAAGAGCGACTTAGCCACCCCCTTCTCCCAGGCTCACCTCGTCACTCATTTCTCTGCTTCCTCCTGTGTCTTCACCACTGTCTTAACTTCTGTAGCTTCTGGACTTCCAGGAAGGCCAGGCCCTTGGGGCAGGGGGCTTGCATGACTGAAGCCCTGGGAGACAGTCCTACTCGTCCAGTCTGAGAGATGATAGGGAGGGACAGAAAGGAAGATCAATCTCTTCAAATACAGTAGGCTCCAACTCTTCTCTCTGGCCAGGTGGTGACAGTCCCGGTGACCATGAAGAGAAAGAGGTCTCACATTGTGGCTCCTTAGATACCAGTTGTTACATTTCTCCAGTAGCCTGGAGACGGGGAGACTTCAGTGTCTCTCTGTTCTAAAATGCCCTCAGAAGTCATGTGACCCACCAAGTTCTGTGCACTTCCACATCCCCGTGGAGTCCATTTAACACAGGGGAACCGAGTTCATAAGAGAGGACGGGAGACAAAAATCCTCAAGTTGGCACATGTCCCCAGCATGAAAGTTTGGTTTGGAAATTGCCCAAGAATAAATTACTGCTCAGTTCCCATGAGCACACAGATAAGCCAGAGTGTTCTTCAAAGAACAAACTCTAATTGGAAAGTAAGACATAAACTGAGCTCCTAGCCAAGCCATTTGTGATGGGTTCGTCTCGGGAAGTCCACAAGGGCCTCAAAGGCTATGGTGTTAATGAGAGGCTTGTGATGCCGTGGAACTTGACTTGGCTGAGTAGCTGGAAAAGCAAAGGGTTCTCAGAAGGCAGTCTGCAAGACTGCATGATAGCTTAAACCAAGAAATCGCTCTAGGCAAGATTAGAAGGAGCAGGGCACCGAAGAGAGAACCCGCTTTTGGAGTCGGGCAGACTCGGGTTCTAATCCTGGTGTCACTGTGACCTTTCCCCGCCTTCCTAGTATTGGGAACGATAAAGATGCACGTGTATAATATTAGGCAAATCACTATACAAACAAAGGAAAGCTGTGGCTCTCCTCATCATTAAGACAGTTAAACCCTATCGTGTCAGCGTGCTCCAGGGCAGCAGCCAGCGGAAATCAGGTTCTGTGGTGGGTTCTCTCAGCCTTGTGCCCACACTACAGGTCTGACCCCGTCCCCTTCTCTGTTCTTTCCTCTCCAGCCACCTGTGGCCTGAGGCAATACAAACAGCCCCAGTTTCGAATTAAAGGCGGGCTGTTCACAGACATCACCTCGCACCCTTGGCAGGCTGCCATCTTTGTCAAGAACAAGAGGGCTCCTGGAGAGAGGTTCCTGTGTGGAGGAGTGCTGATCGGTTCCTGCTGGGTGCTGTCTGCGGCCCACTGCTTTCTGGAGAGGTATGGACTTCTCATTCTGGAAGGCTCTGGAGCCAGCCCATGGGAGTCACTCACTTGGCAAAACCCAAGAGTAATTCTTAAAAAAAATTGCAAAACATCCTAATGCTGTTTTCCTGCCAGGTTTCCCCCCCATCATGTTAAAGTGGTCTTGGGCAGAACATACCGGGTGGTTCCTGGAGAAGCGGAGCAGACATTTGAGATTGAGAAATATATAATCCATAAGGAATTCGATGATGACACTTACGACAACGACATTGGTAAAAGGCCATTCTAGTCATACGCCCTTATTTCTCACCCCGTCCCTCCCCGCACTATGTCACCCGTCTCCTTTCTCTTGGCACCAGCATTACTGCAGCTGAGGTCAGATTCCAAACAGTGTGCCCAGGAGAGCAGCTCTGTCAGCACCGCCTGCCTTCCTGACCCCAACCTGCAGCTTCCTGACTGGACAGAGTGTGAGCTGTCTGGCTACGGCAAGCATGAGCAAAGTAAGTGGAAGGAAGTCTTGGTCCCCTCCTTATCTAGCGTGTGGTCATCGGGCAGATGGAGGGGAGGTGGTCACACAATGTTCTACTCCCAGTTCTGGCGTGACATAGAAAAGTGCAGGAAAGACTGCCTGTCTGTATGATGGGAAGCTACTACTTGCTTCCTGGCATTACAGGGACACTGTGTGTGGATGCCAGAAAGTCGGGACAGGGAATGTTGAAATAAGAGCGGTGGGGCTGCGTCCCCAACACCCCGGCCGCTCGGCTAGCTCATGCCCGAAATAACAACACACAAACTGTATTCATTTAAAGAACTGCTTGGCCCATGAACTCTAGCCCTTACAGGCCAATTCTCGCACCTGGACTAGCCCATTTCTAATGATATGTGTAAGCACCCCAAGGTGAGCTTACCGGGAAGATTCTAGCCTAAGTCCATCGTGGGTTGCAGCTGCATGGGAGAGCAGAGCATGGAAGCTGTCAAGTCCCTCTGGAAGCAGAGCAGAGTCTGACCTCACTTCCTCTTCCGCCCAGCATCCTATTCTGTTTTCTCCTCCCACCAATGCTTTAACCTATCAGGGCCAAGCAGTTTCTTTATTGCTCAGCCAATGAAATCAACAGATTGATGACACTCCCACATCAAGGGAAGTACTCTGAAGAGCTTTTATATAGTCCAGTGGAGACAGGGAGGAAGGGTGTAAAGGTGTCTGTGTTCTTAGACGCTGGGAGTTGTACAGGCTGAGCTTGTACCCCAAACTTGCCTCTGGCTTAGCTGTGGGACCCTGGATGGGTCATTCTGCTTTCTAACAATGTCCGCAAATATGAGATAAATTACCCTGAAGATAGGAAAGGTTTGTTTGTGCTCATGGGTTTGGAAGTTTCAGACCGTGGTCAGTTGGCTCAGTCTGTGGGCTTGTGGCAAATCCATACGTCATAGGAGGCGCCCACAGCCCTGGGGCCGTGCATCCCGGTGTACCACGCAAGCGTATGGAGAAAAGGGAGAGTCTGGGTCTTAATATCCCAGCCACAGTCGTAGCTTCCTCCTCCCAGAGCTACTTCTTAAAAGGTCTGCCATCTCCAAAGAGCACCACGGGTCTAGCCTTCAACACACGTGGCCCTTGGGGGAATGATTATCCAAGCCAGATGTGTATTTTTGTATTATTTCATGATCGTTGCCTCGTATATTCCTATAGTGGTTCCCAACTTGCAATCCCAGTGTCCCAGGACTTCAGGTGTGGACCATCAGATTGAGCTTAAACACTTAAAAAAAAATGTTTCTTAATTACCGAAGCCTCACTTTCCTCACTGCCAACGTAGAAACAGGGCAGGCTCCCTGATTAAATCATAAGGAATAAATGATAGAATGCCTGATTAAATCGATGGTTCTCTCTTGGGGAGGTTTCACCACCCAGGCCATGACTGGCAGTGTCCGGAATCATCACGGTGGTGGTGTCACATGTGTGGCTGACGGCTGACCCTGGCCTTTGGTTAGGAGGGACGGGCTGCCAAACATGGGTGGGATACAGGACGCTCTTTGTGCTGGATAACTGTGTAGTCCAACTCTCAGTGGTGCTACTGAGAAACGTGACCTCACCTTAGAGACAGTAAAATGTAGCACGTGTCATAGGAGACAGCCTGCTTTGGGTCAGCTGGAAAATTCAGCTTCCTCGTTCCAAAAGGCTTGTGAGTGATGCTTAGATCCTAAGCCACCCGGACCTTCTCTTTCAGCGTCTCCTTTCTTCTCCGAGCGGCTGAAGGAGGCTCATGTGAGGTTGTACCCACCGAGCCGCTGCACGTCACAGAATTTGTTCAATAAAACCGTCACAGGCAACATGCTGTGTGCTGGAGACACCCGAAGTGGAGGCAGCCAAAATCTCCATGATGCGTGTCAGGTAAACGCCTTGGATGCCCCCAACATTCTGGGTCCTCTTCTGTGCCCAGGCAAGAGGTTCTTAAGCAGGGGGGGAAGAGTGAGAGCCCCGGTGGAAGGTGTGACGCTGGGATTCAAAAGTGGAGCTCCAAAGACGAAAATGGTAAAGGCCAAAGCTTCTCAAACTTAAAACATCTGATCTGGGGGTTGGAGAGATGGCTCCATGGGGTAAGAACACTGGCTACTCTTCCAGAGGACCCAGGTTCAATTCCCAGCACCCACATGGCAGCTCACATCTGTCCAGTTCCAGGGCTTCTGACACCCTCGCACCAGACATCCATGCAGATAAAACACCAATGAACAAAAAATAAAAATAAATTATTTAAAAAAAAAAGAAAGAGAAAAAATCTAAACTGCAGGAAATTTTTCTGGTTTGTGGACAGGAAGCTAGTGTGGGATTTCCCTATGAGCCCTATTTAAATGATAGATTAAACAACATAATTAAATGTTTGACTTCTGATGGTGTTGGGGAAGACCCAGATAGTAACCAGCACAGAGTAACCGCTGACATTAACAGCCAGATAGTAACCAGCATGGAGCAATTGCTGACATTAAGACCCGGATAGTAACCACCCGATTAGGAAAAGTGAACCATAGTTCACTGAGGCCATATAACTAAATTAGTAGCAGATTCCATATCAGATTTTATTTATTTATTTATTTATTTATTTATTTATTTTGAGGCGGATCTCATTATGTAGTCCTGGCTGGCCTGAAACTCTATGTAGAAGAGGCTGACTTTAAATTCACAGAGCGCCACCTGTCTCTTTCTCCTAAGCGCTGGAGTTAAAGGTGTGCACCACCATGTCACCCACTCCAATCAGATGTTATAAAACATGAGCAGTTTTGGTTTTTGTTTTCTAGGTGCTAAGAGTAGAGCTCTTGGATTTTTTTTTACATGGCAGGGGACTGCTCTACTGAGGAGCTGCACCCCATCTCTGAACAGTTATCTTAAATCTGTGGTTTTTGGGGTTTGGTGGTTATTTATTTATCTATTTGAGACAACACCTCATTCACTGTGTGGTCCCTGGGTGGCATGTTCCCATTTGTAGCCCAGGCTGGCCTTGAACTCAGAAATCCACCTCCCTCTGCCTTTTGAATGCTATGATTAAAGGCATGTGCTACCATGCCAGGCTCTTAATGCTATTTTACCAGAATTAAGATATGGCCAAATCTATAGCCTCAAGTCTCCCTCCCTGAAACAAGTTCTTTGAGGGCTACTATCTTTGTACTACAAATAGCAACCAAAATTTTCTTCCAGATATTCTGCCATGTGTACAAACAACTAATCCATGCATCTATGCTCTTCCACAGGGTGACTCGGGAGGACCGCTGGTATGCATGATCGATAAACACATGACCTTAGTTGGCATTATCAGCTGGGGCATTGGCTGTGGGCAGAAGGATGTCCCTGGGGTATATACAAAGGTGACTAATTACATAGACTGGATTCAAGACAACATGAAACAATGACCCAGGAAACCCAGCTCCTTGGATGCGAAGAAGGACCTGCCTTCCTCTTCTATAGAAAACACATCTAAAAGGCCAAGTGTCCTTTACACTGTCATCTTTAAACAACTGCCACTCGGCAGAGGGACAGAGGACTTCACAGTTCGTGAGTTTTCAAGAATGAAGGTCTGACTTTAGGATAAATTCTGTCCGATGAGACGATGGGAAAATGCCAGTCTCCCATAACTCCAGGATTTAAAAGAGAAAGGTAGACCAAAGTCCATCATGCTGGTCCACCATTTTGTACACTGGACCACAAGACACAAGAACACAAGACCATGTCTCGACAGTAAAACACCACTTGATCTTTCAGGAAAGTTTGCATTAGGGACAAGAATACATACTTATAGTCACAAGAGGGCCCAGCAGGGCCTCTAAGAGATGGAGGGGTTGGCTGGCCAGATCACAGCCCCATAAAACCCTTGACATCCAATATACCCCACCTCCTGCCCACCTTTCAACTCTTGGGAGGTTTTCCTTTATAGACACTGTAAATCTTTATTCATAAACGATATCGATGGTTGGGAGAACTGTGTGATTTTAATAACTGATGAAGTAGCATTAGCATATTTATATATTAATCTATTTACGTTTTTACTTTGTTACTATAACTTTGTATTATACTGTACTTAAATAATAAATCCAAAGGTATTTTTCACACTTTCCAAGTGGTGGCTTATTTGTGGTCACGATTTTGGTTGAGTCAGCTGAAAGACTTCCTCTCATTCTGTCCCGCTTACCCCAAGTCAAGATGCTGGGTGCCACCAACAGTAGAAATGGGGTGGGGAGAGCTGGCATGGACAGAGGCATCCACAGAAAGCAAGCACGACGGAGCCTGTCTCGGCACAGCAGAGACCTCCCTGGGACTCAGTTGTGAGACTGGGAAGATCAGGAAAAACAGGATTCAGGAGGGTTTTCACACAATGGATAAGACTGGGTTAGTGGGCAGCTGCAGGAAGGCCGGTACTAAGACAACCCAAATTTCACAATTGCCACAACAAAGACTTGGTGGCCAAAGAGTCAGTAGAATACAGGGAATGGGCGACAGTTTGTCTTTATTGTATGTGGCGGAGGGAGGGTGGTTTGTGAGTTCCTGGGGCACATGTGAAGGTCAGAGGATACCCACAGGAGTTGGTCTTCACTTCTACCATATGGAGCCTAGGGATTGGACTCACGTTATCCAACTTAGTGGCAGGCATCTGCGAACACAGGACTGGGGAGTGAACTCAGGACTTCGGGTGTGCTAAACACATACTCTACCACTGAGCTAGATCCCCAACCTGGTCTGAACGTGAGCAGGATTGTAGATCAGATGCTGGGGACTCTTGAGGGCCAAATGAGTGTTCTGCTCCAAATGAAGATACATCTGGAAAATCAACCACACTGTGACCACAGACTGAGCAGACAGCTGCATGGCTCTGTGGACAGTAACTACAGCAACGCAAGCCATCCCTTACTAACATAGCAACGGCTCAACTGATGGCTCACACTAGACGCTCCTATCTGGGCTGCTTTTCTTTTTTTCTTCTCATTCTGTTTTGTTTTCTGCTCCACAGAAACGATTAGGTCATAGACCAGGGCACACAAATGTACTGCCTGCGTCCTGCTGCTTTAGTAACTCCTTTAGTGTGTGATGAGGGCCTGAGGGTGTGTCCACACATAGTGGGCATGTAAAGGCCAGGGGAGAACTTCCAGAAGCCATTTCTCCCCTTCTGCCACAGGTTGGCCTGTGTGGTGAGCACTCTTTGCAGTTGGTATCTTGCTGGCCCTTGCACAGACTTACAGCCATGGAATATAGCCTCTCTCCTTGCTGTGTCTCCAGCTTTCTTCACCGTATTTTAGTTCCAAGAATCTATCTCATGATGTAATGCTTGCTCTTGGGTGTGGCTGGGTCAATTTATTATTATTATTATTATTATTATTATTATTATTATTATTATTATTTAGGAAGAAAGGTCTTTCTTATCTCTAGAGGGTTTGTCAGTACATAGTACAAAGTCATCTGTTGGAGGCTCTTAGAAGAAAAATAGTTTGAACTCACAAAATAAATTAACCAAAGCACAAGAACTTGATGGGGGAAGGTGTGTTGGATGGTTTCTGAAATCTCTGACGTCCCCAGACCAGTGCCATCAACTTGAATCAGAGGCTAAGTCACAGATTTCTTGACCTCACACAAGTCTGCCTTCATCTTCTGATCTAAGATCTCAGGCAGAAATACATCTCAACCCATTCCTGAAAATTCTGCTTGAATTCTGCAGTAAGCAAGGCTCTCGGGTCTGCTGATCGCAGCTCCTTTACCCCTCCCCTGCTGGGCAAGCTTTTCTTCAGGCGCTAGGGTCAGTGAGCCGAAAAGCCTTCTGGGATGGGAATACAAAGTCAAAAAGCCCCAACATTCCTGAGTGGAGTCCTGGAAACCATACACAGATGAGGACAATTGCTGACTCCTACGGAGCAGCAGCGTCCAACAAGACAGCCATATGAATCACACCGAGGGGTCAGAGTAGCACATCCCTGCCTGCCCAGTATTGGTAGGAAATGCAGAGTGCACTGTCTGGAATTCACCAGAGGAAGGGAATGAGTCAGAGGGAAAGTAAAGGTTGCCCCCCTATTTCTGGCTGATTAAGAAAGAGGCCAACAGAACCGAAGAGCAAGTATGGTCCCAGGTAACTGTACGGGTTGGTTTTGGTTGTTAAAGACCAGAGGAATACAGAGCCACGGTCCTGTTCCCTGATCCCCTCCAGGCCTGTACATCACAAAACGTTACAGACTTTCAACTCCATATATGAAAGCTGAACACATGATCCTTAGTATTTAAGACCTGCTTGGGTTTCTCACTGAATTCCTTTTTAAATCCACGAACAATTATAAACAGTATTGCTGGCCCCTAGTCACCACCTACTGGCACAGAAGGAAATATAAGTCAATAACATTTCCTGCACCAAATGCCCCCTGACCATTCAGAGTGAGGGCGCAATGCATACAGCAGTCAGCCCTGCTCCGGGGGGGAACATGCTCCAAGATAGCCGTGGGTGTCAGGAGACAGACAGCACCTACCCTACAAAATCTGTTTCTCCTGTAAGTTGTATCCTACAACCAGATACACTAAGGCATGGTCAATGCCAGAATGGCAGAGTGGAACCAGCCGGACTCGACAGATGTCTAGTTCCGGGGAATCCCTCAGTCTGGGTGCAGGCTCAGCGCAGCATGTAGGAACGGCAGCCTTTGGAACACAGGTTTTCTTCACGTCTCTCCCAAACACCGGTGCCTTTGCCACACACCTCTAAGGCACAGCAGTGACAGAGTAGAAACATACGTGTTTTCTCCTGCTTCACGGTTTCAGTTAGAAGTATTGTTCTTGCTGAGATCTCAGCACATTGCACAGACGATTGTTTTCCTTATTAGAAACTTTGAATTTATTGTGGAGAGGAAGCATTTTCTTTCAACTTTCTTGGCTTCTCTTTGACCTATCCACACACACACAACACACACACACACACACACACACACCTGGCACTCCTACTCTGTAAGTGCGGGTTCCTTGAGCACAAAGAGTGTGATACTATGACAGCTAAGAGCGAAGAGAAGCCCTTAGTGACCACCAAGCAGTGTACCATTGGGCACGGCATGATTTGTGTCCAGGGAAAGACAGTGTCTGGTGGATGGGATGGGATGGAAGTCAAATAAAGGCTTCACCAGGCTACTCAGTATGGTACACATTTCTTGGAATTTTCCAGTTCATATTTTCAGAATGTGGTTGCTAGGAAAGCGGGGAGGGTCCTGCACTAAAGAATGTCAGAGAAGGGGCAACAAACTGGTTCCATGAGTATAGGCGCTTACAACCAAGCCTGATGTCAGGAGTTTCAACCTCGGGACTCATAGAACGGAAGGAGAGACCTGACTCCCACAAGTTCTCTTTGGATTGCCACATACAGGCTGTGGCTTGTATAACCCCCATCCCCTCCCACCAACACAGACATCCATAAAGTCTCCAAGAAACAGACACTGAACTTTTAACAAGCACCATACGCTTCCCAAAGTCAGCAGAGATCTGCAGAAAGTCAGTTTGGAAGTGTGTCTACATGCTGATATTGACTGGTGGCAACAGACCCCTTGTGGTGGCTTCAATGAAAATTGCTCTCCCCATAGGGTTGTATGGTTGGATACTTGGTGCTCAGCCGTCACTGGCAGTGGGTTCTGAGATTTCAAAAGCCCACACCATTTCCAGCGTACTCTCTGACTCCCGCTCATGGATCAGGTGTAAGTTCTCAGCTTTTCTTGCCGCCAGGCCTTTGCTCCGCCCTCATTGACTCTGACACCCTGAAAACATCAGCCCAATGAAACGTTTTCTTTTGTAAGTTGCCTTGGCCATGGTGTTTTGTAGCTGCAATGAAAAAGTAGCAAAGGCAGCCTTGATGCCTGTCTCCCCCAGAAATTCTACAAGAGACACCTGAGACCTGCTGCTCTGCTTCCTGCAGCGAGAAAGAACACGGACATGGGAATTGCACCAAGGGCTTTAACAGCCTTTTTTTTAATCCCAGGAAGAGTATTAGATTCCTTTGGACCCTAGATGCCAACAACCTTACTAACGGCACCAGTCCCAACATGACCTGTCTCCCAGGGGTGACTGGACAATCACACCGTACACGTGGCTTTAGATATCACAAATAAGCAGCTTCTGCTTGGGGAAACACAGTGGAGTGTAACCGCTAGCCTCAGTAACCAGACGGAGACCAGACTGATAAAGCTTTATTAAGACTTAAACAGAAATACTACTACTTCTGCACATGGACCACACAGCGTGGGGAGCTATTGAGACACCCTGCACTACCTGCCAGCTGACTGACAGTCACTGAATGGGGACAGTCAGGCCTGCCTACATCCACCATGTCTAGGCCCGCAGGTCCCATACTCCAACCCCGTCTCTTTCTAGGTAGACAAGCTGTCCTGTGCTAGACAGAATAAAGGAACTGCACTTATGAACCTGAACATATTCAAGGACCGATATAAAGAGTTCCCTGTGTCTCAAGAAGCCTTGGAATCCAGCGGAGCCTGTGGAGGTGACATCATGCCCTGAAAGTCATCTGCAGAGTGTCTCTCTCCACACCGGGTGTGCGGAGCTACCCTAGTCCAGATTCCGGAGTGGAGCGGTCAGAATCAGCTGACTGTACATAGCACGGTCCACCCCACAAGAAAATCACAAAGAAACATCACCCAGCAGCAAAACTAAGTACTGGCCACAGCAAGATACAACTAGCCAGAAAAAGAACAAGCACAGAAACTAAGTGAGCACAAGTGATTGCAAACAGGACTCTAGGGGAGAGCTGTGAGGACCAAAGGAAACGGAGCTTCCCCCCTCCCCGCACAACACAGAGCACAGCCGCTCCCCAGGCTGCAAGTTAAAAAAACAAACCCCACCTTTTATGTAGGTACTAAAATGAGTAATGGACACACTGAAACAGATTAAGAAATACTCACTAGGAAAGTCATGCTCCTTCGGCTGCCATGGTTTAAACTCGTGGTTTACTCAAGATAACACAGCCTGCCCTCCTACGGCATCTGATTTTACTCAAAGGTTCAAGACACCTTTTTTGTTTTTTTTTCTTTTTTTGTCTTAAACGTAGACTGGGAGCAGTCTGCTGTCAACAGGTAGACAACAGTGTACAGATGGTAGGCAGCTTCATGGACTCATGCCTTCGGGGTGCCCTGCCCACTGGGGGCTTCTGATGGGGACCTTCAGACAAGAAAGGGTAAGGCTTGGGGCCAGTCCAGCCTGACAAACACAAATGGCGGCCACCACGCATAGGCATGGTCTACTTCTGTGGGACACGAGTTCCCATCTCAATCAACATTTCTAATTCAGAAAAATCTAGCTGCACCAAACTGTTTTGGGGGAGCTCCCACCGAGGAGTTGGATACCCAGCAAGAGACTGTTAGCTGCTCTGGCAACCTTCCCACCAAGATGATCGGCCAGCACAAGGAGCAAGCCCAAGAGAGAACCTAAAAGTCAGGCCACAGCGCTCCAGCCTCCAAGGGAAAGTGACCCCACTGTGGTTTCATGTCAAGTGTGGACTTGAACTCTGGAAGTCCTGGACATGCAAGTCCTTCCTATACATGAGAAGGGTCAGAAAGAAACCACTCCACCCTGCTCCTCGTAGTCCCTGGGGAAACTCTGACCACTTTTTTGGCCAGTCCTTCTCTGTAGAGTCTCTTGTTATAACTCTTTTCATATTAGCTTATCTGGCTTATCCCTCATATGGCAGATCTGTCTTGTCCCACGGGCCATGCTAGGAACGAACCAGGGCTTGCACACATCCTAGGCCAGCGCTCTGCCACTGAGTCACAACCCAGACCCATGGATCAAATCTGCACTGGTCTCTCTTTGACTGACACTTACTTTTTTCCAATCGTTTTTTTTGTCTTTCAAATCTTTCTATCTTAAAAAAAAATCAATAGAGACATCTTCCATTGGACTTAGATAATTACAACCAAACAAACAGCAAGTGCTGGTCTATCCCCCCACCCCGTGGCAGCCATGGAAAAGTAGTGACATACAACAGCACGTAGCACGGCTCTCCACCATACGCTTCTCTAGAACTCAGTCAGGGCTGTGCTGAGTTTGGCCGTGCGTTCCCTGACAAGCCTTTCTCCCTTAATCAGTTACACGGCACTGAAGACTGAGGACAAAAGGGAGCAGATGGAGCCTGGAGAAAACTGACCTAAGAAACAGGCTGACGTTTTACTTTTAGACAAGTAAGAAATGAAAACATGTCCGTCATTGCTCCTCCAAGGAACACGTGCCCCTCAGGTTCGAACTTGGAACTTGCCGGCTTTGGTCATGTACTTTATGCCCTTGAACGGCTTGTACTTCTCTCCGTACATATCCAGACGGTTCACTTTGAGTCCTGCAGAGAAGAAAGGAGAGAGGGGTAAGATGTGAGCATCTCTCGGAAGCAGCAGCAGCCAGGGGTCTGGGTCTGGGTCACTTCAGAAGTAAGGTGCGGGGAAGAGATGATCTACGGAGCCCATCCTGTGAAGCAGAGGCAGACGGCCCTGCCATCTCGGGACATACATTTGCAGCAAAGATTACGTCAGCAAACAGCTCTCCTGGGGGAAGACCTCCTCTCGGTGGCAGGGGCAGAGAGTCGAGCAGATGGCAGTGAGGAGGCAGACAAATAACACTGTGTCTTGCTCAAGTTATTGGACTGAGTGAATGATCACAGCATTAGTGAATAATGAACGGACATGAATTGATCAGCGAAGGTTCCCTAGTCCCGGCAGACTGAAGTTACTCTGTCGATAGCTTTATGGCCTGTTCAGTGGCTCAGGAGAAAGAACGTATCACTTAACTTTGATCACCTAAGCTAGAGTCTTTTAGGAAAGAGAACCAGAGTATTCTCTAAAGATAAAGCTCATTTCTTTCTAAGGCTTTCAGAAGGCTATTCTAAAAGTTAAACAAGAATAAAAAAAATGCTTAGGGGTAAATGGGACATAACGAATATCCAGAAAATGCAATGTATTATCACCTTGCTAAGTGTGGCCAAACTAAAGACAGTACAAATAATAGCTGAAGCTGGAGAGCTGTGGGGCTCACGTCTTCCCATTCCTGAAGAACGGAGAAGTATCCTCACACTGAAGACCTTGGGCAGTTCAAGTCAACAGCTCTAGTGTGATCCAACAATGGCCTCCGAAGGCCTCCACCAGCCCATCTCTCCCTGGGCCCCAGACGTTCTGACTTGGGGTCTTCATGTTACCTTCTAAGCAGTCTGAACCAGGAAAAATCTCACTGACGATTCCATACTGGGAAATATAACCAGACCCAGTGTGACCCATCGTCAGAAAGCCCCAGAAGACACTGAGGTCTGCACCTGGCGATAGACACCATTTCTACCTCTAAGAGCCACCCGAGATATGTCACTCACCAGAAATAGCCAGCTGCTGGATCTTAAACTGCAGGTTAATTGTGGGGTTCTCATCTGGTTTAGAAGCTCCAACCTGAAGACTCATTGTCCCCTTCAAACTCGGCAGCTTTTGTGGGTTTATTTTGCCTACATCCCAAGACAGCATCTTGGAAAAAAACACACAGAAGTGGGTTTCTTATGGGGCTTCTATCTGAACTCAGAGCTCTAACCTCCAGGCATCTGATTCCATACTATGAGCCACCGGGCGGGGGGGGGGGGGGGGGGGGGGGGGGGGGAGGTGTTCCATCAAGAACCCTCTGTCAAAGATCTTTAGAACCAAGTTCCTTTGACTAATCCTGCCTTCCAACCAGGTATACAGCCTGTGTTGAAGGTGATTCGATGCCCAGCTCCTTACCTTTGTCACGGGGTCAAACGTGTGTGTCCCCTGGGATGGAGTGAGGCTCATGTTCAGGACTCCTTTGGGCATCTGGCTAGTGACAGTCACACCTTCTATTGTCTTTCCCATGCTCTGCTTGGGTCCCACTGTGATTTCAAAGCGTCCAAGTGAGCTACTGTCCCGGAAGCTGATGCTATGTTTGACATAGACTGGAATCGCAACTAGGCTGAAAAAGAAACAAAACTCTCTCTTCAAAGAGAAAGCACCCAGGGTTGGAGGGATGGCTCAGGGATTAGCAGCACTGGCTGTTTTGGCAAAGGACCAGGTTTGTTTCCCAGCGCCCTTGTGGCGGCTCGCAACTGTCCATAACTCCAGTTCCAGTGTGTCAGACCCCTTCTTCTGACCTCTGCAGGCACCAGGCATACATGTAATGTACATGCATGCATACATACATACACAAGTGAAACACTCATACACATGAAATAAAATAAATAAATCAAAAATTTGGAACAAAGGTAACACCCTTTGAGTGCACTCAACACTCTTTCGAGGCACGATTATCTGCCTTTCGGATGTCAAGGGATTTAATACTGACGTCTGATACCTGAGGAAAACCTTCTTTTGAAGGCAGCAACAACAGAAAGCAGTTGCTATGCTATTGGCCCACACCTGTAAACTAGGAGGACTGCAAGTTCAAAGCCAGCCTGGACTAAGAGAGCAAGACTGATTCAGCAGACACCACTACAGAAAGTAGTAATGGCAGCCTCGGAGAACCCTTGCTCTGGGCGAAGCACTGTGCACTCCATCCTCACAGAAAGACACTCACTGTCCCCAGAAAAGAAACAGAGGGAGTGGGAAAGCAGCTTACTGTGCTGACACAGTTAGCAACCCAAGGAGCTGGAACCTAAAGCCAGGGAGATGGACCCGGGGGCTAACCACCGCAGGCAGAGCTGCCACAGACACAGAGTCTGTTCCTGTCGCTGCTTACTTCTGCGCACTGACATGGTAGGAGAGCAGGCGGAAGTTGCCGTCAGGAGGAATGAAGGAGAGGATGCGCTCAGATTCCCAGCGCTTGAACCGGACACAGGGATGGAAGCTAACATCGTCCAGCAACCTAGGGTTCTGCAGAACCAGGCGGGGAAGAACACAAAGTGGGAGTAAGCAATTCGACGACATTTTCACCGATCACATACAAGCATCAAGCATCCAAAGCCCGGTGTGGACTTCAAAACCACCCTGATTACTGCCTGCGCTATTCCATTCTCACCGCTCTCGAGAAACATCTCATTTCCCAAGCCAACAAGGTTAACAACGGCTCTGGACGTTACCATGAAGGACAGAGTGAGGTCTGGCATCCCGGTCAGCTTAACACAGGCATCAATCACTCCCTGGATCTCAGCGGTGACCGTGGAACCTAAGAGGAAAGCGGAAGGAATGCTGGAGACCACAGAAGCCTGTGTCCCTCCTGCTTCTCTCTGTCCTTCCTCCCGCTCGCCCGCCTGCCTCTCTTCCATCTGGCCACCCAGTTCATCTATCCATCATCCAAGCTCAAGTGTAAGAACTCTGATGAAAGCGTGGAGACAGAGACCAGTGAGAGATTAGGAGCCTAGAAGGGTTTTCCCTCCAGTGCCAGAGCCGCAGAGCTCCAGCACTAACCAGTGCTTCCAAAGATCTGTTAGCAGGAGCTGCTCTCTGGGAGCCCAGCCACCATCTCAGGGGGTCCATGGTCCTCACCTACAGGTCTCTGTCCACCCCTCTTCCGTCTTCTCCCGCTACAAACAACCCACCCTCCCTCCTTCCCGCCCTCCCTCCCCTCCCCTCCCATTCTGTCCCTAGCTCCTCTTCCTCAGCACCTGCAGGTCTCTGCATGTTCTAACATACCACATGTGTACTCAAGCCTGGACCAGCCTTCCCCAAGACTTCTGTCTTCATCACACCCAATTATTTGCATTGTTTTTTAATTGGAAAAAATTGTACCCACACAATATATTCTGATCATGTTTTTTCATCTTCTAACTACTCCCTGATGGCTCCCGTTTCTGTCCTCTGTGGTGGCACTCTCCATCTCCTGCCTGAGCCAGGTACACGTGACCTCCTCCCACTCTGCTCTTGCCGTGTTTGTTAAATACTATTTCTTGTAGCTCAGGCTAGCCCCACACTTGCTGTTTCTGCCTCGAGTGCTGGGATAGCAGGTGCACACCTCTGTCTGGGAACCGGCACCTCTATCTCCAGGAGCATTAATTCTCCTATAAATTTGAGCCGGGACTTCAGGCAGTCCCTCCTAATGTTGCCGCTGCCTCCGGTCCACCTCACTGTAGATCAACCTCCCACACTGCAACATGACGGGCCATTGTATTTTTTGTTTGTCTGTTTGTTTGTTTATTAAGATGGGTTCTCATGATCTAGCCTTGACTGGCCTGGAACTCACAATATAGACCAGGCTGGCCTCGAATTCACTGAGATCCAACTGTCTCTGCCGCCCTAGAGTGCCAGAATTAAAGGTGTGTGCCATCAAGCCTGACACAGATTGCCACTCTAATAAAAAAATAAAAATAATACTTTCCCTGTATTTTTATCCTATGTGTATGGTTGTATTGCCTGCTTGTATGTTTGTGCACGGTGCCTACAGTGGCCAGAAGGGGGCATCGGACCGTCTGGGACGAGAGCTATAGAGGGATGAAAGCCACTAGGTGAGTTTTGGGAACTGAACCCAGCAGAGGATCACCCAAGACACTAACCGCTGAACCTTCTTCCTAGTGTCAACTTAAAAAACAAATGCAGCGATATAAAATATCAATATGTAAAAACCTTAGAGGTCAGTGTATTTTTGAACATAGATGTGCCTCCTGTCCTTCCTAGCTGATGACCCCCTCCCCCTCTAATTCTAAGTTCTATCGCCTTAAAGTCACCTGCTTTGAGGTGTCTCTAAAAGAAATTACTAGAAATGATAACATATGTGTCCGACTCTTTTTTCTCAACAGTGTAAGAGACCTGTTGATGGTGGATCAGTAATTTACTGTTTTCTTTTTTTACTCAGCTCGGTGACCACATCAAGACTTATTGATCCTTTGTTGCTGTTGTTAGTGGACAGTTGGGTTATTTCTCCTCTGTGTTAATATGCAGACATGTTGCGATGGCCTAGTTTAAAGTCTCATTCTTTACGATCGCCTCAAGCTCCTCAATCCAGCTCTTCTGTGAGCCCTGCTGAAGCGCTGAGGACATCGGCAGCTCACTCTGCTTACCCAGCAGTTGCGTCTGCACAGAGGCCCATCTGCCTGCACTTTCTTCACTGGCACCACCTTTCCACGCCACAGACTGACAGCCCGTGTCTGTCACGTGGTGTTAACATGGTCAGTCTTCCGCACCAGTCTGTGGGTGCGTGGGTGCGAGAATGTGACGGCACTCCCGAGTCCTCAGCCCCAGGACGCCTGTTTCTCTTTACAGACAACAGGATAGAACCTTGTTATTGTGACTAGTTCTGCCTCCAGACCTGGGAACCTAATACTTTCAAATAGAAGATCTAACCAACAGGAGCGCACGTTGTACTTCTTCCCCCTCCCCCATCTCTTTCCTGGTCTCTTGAAAGAGCATCTGGCTGCATAGCCCCACATGGCCTGGAAATCTTGATCCTCCAGTCTCAGTTCACTGATGGGTATGCACTGCCATGCTCGGCCTTGTTACTCGGTGTCCCCCTTCCCCACCCTGAGCCTTGCTGCAATTCTCAGCCCGACGACTCCTCTTTCTCCTTCAAGAGAAGCTCCACAAAAGGCAGAGTATGAGAGACTCGGCTGCATCACCCCATACACTCAGGGAAAGCGGCTCCTCTGTGTGAGAGACTTGGCTGCGTCACCGTATCCACTCAGGGAGAGCGGCCCCTCTCTCTGCACTCAGAGAGACACTTCACAGCACCCACCTGACTTGTCGATGATGGCGTCTATCTCTTCAACCACATCGAAGTAGGCCTCGTTGTTGGTATACTTCACCCCCGTCCGTCGCCAAGGCACCACCGAAAGCTGCCCCGTCGGGAGCTGGTCTCCCACATTGGTGCTTCCTGAGACAATTAACATGGGTGACCAAAATCAAATCGGTATCTTAATGCCAGCTCTCATCTAACAACCTAAGGACATTCCCCTCAAAGTTTCCATGGTCTTGTTACTCATGAGACGCCAACTGGAAGATGAACCTTTCACGTCTCCTATGTAGGACAGCCTGGTCTAATTTTAAAATCCATCGTCGCCATCTGGTCTGCTGCCTCGAGGGCAGGCTTACAGGAAGCCACCTGAGAAGCGGATATCATATTTTGGTTTGGAGACAATGAGAACTGACGGATCTCAAATTCCACAACAGCTTCAATATGGTACAGTGTTTCTGTACGGCTGGGCACCTACACACAGACACAATGTCACCATCAGTGAAACAGGATTCTAGTTTAAGGCAGGTTCGCAGGCACAGTAATGGAAGGGGGAAGTGTTTACATCAACAGGATCTGCCTTATTCCAACACCAAACAGACGAGAAAGCAGCCAGATCCCGCCCCATCCCTGCAGCTGATACAGCTAGATCCCACCCTATACCTGCAGCTGCTGCAGCCAGATTCCGCCCTATCCCTGCAGGTGGTGCAGCCAGATCCCGCCCTATCCCTGCACCTGCTGCAGCCAGAACCCGCCCTACCCCTGCAGCTGGTGCAGCCAGATCCCGCCCCATCCCTGCAGCTGGTGCAGCCAGATCCCGCCCCATCCCTGCAGCTGGTGCAGCCAGATCCTGCCCTATCCCTGCAGCTGGTGCAGCCAGATCCCGCCGCATCCCTGCATGCAGTTGGGCATCATTTCCTTGCTACCCTGCTCTCACAGACATCAAAGCTCGTTTTAGAGTGAACCGATGACTGTCACTCATTTAAACCCTATTTCCTTTTCCCTCTGCCTTTATCTTTTTACTCTAAAGAACTCCCAAATGCATGTATAGTTGGCACCTGCATAAAACATTCCAGCTTTTCAAAACGGGGGTCTCGGAGAAAATTTTCTACTGCTGAGGGAGATCGAGGCTGTAAAAACTTTCTAACAAAGCAGATGTAAAAAAATTAAGGTTTAAACTAAACTCAGAATATTGCAAAAAAATACAACATAGGCCAGTGCTATGTTTTTTAAATCATCAAAACAGCACTGCACATATCTGACACCTTTTCTCTCACTTTCCTTTAAAGAAATCGCCAATCTGTCCTGTCTCTTCCAACGTGGTGACTCTGAGTTTCTGTCTTGTGAGCCACAGGAACTTAATGCAACTTGATGGCTGACCGGGCAAACCAACCCTTCTGTGACGCCCTCACGAAGCTGCCTGGCTACTCTTCATGCTCGTATTTTCCAAAATTAGTCCGCCAAATTCTCTGAAACTCCCATTTACATTATTAAATGAGACTAAGTGTGTAAAATGTAATGAATCACGATGATGGTTTCACCAAACCAAACATTGCACTGTGGCTCAGCAAATGCAATGAAAAGCTAAGTGGAAGTCGCAGGCTGGGAGGAGCATGGAGGAGGTGGCTCTCAAAGCAGAGCCTGCTAACCAGCAGAGGGCAACCACCAAGGACAGGCGTTTTCCCAAGTTGGTGTTGAAAGAGACAAAAACATCTCAATAAAAAAAAAAATGAACAAAGGGCACAAAAAAGCAAGTCTCGACAGAGGGAAAAGCCCACACTGATGTAGTAACAGCAAGTGAGTGTGAATCTAGTGGCTCACATCCCAAAAGTCAACAGTGCATCAAGATGACAGCGGATCGAAGCGGCAATGGGAGGCAAAGGCTGCCAGGACTTTTCTATTCTGGTGTGTGGCAATCTCTAAACCCCCAGTTTGGCTCCTGCATCTCCAGAACTGAGTAGAGAAGACTCAAACTTAAGAATCCTTTGTGTTTGAAAGGATTAAAAAAAAACGAACATGAAATTCATAAATAGGGGCTAGACAAATATGTCACGGCCCATCTAACATAGAACACCAGTCACAACAATCATGTCAGAACATCACAGTTAGATGTCCATAAAACATTATTAAGAGGCATGATTGAAAAAATACACATTTACAAGTATTCTATATGAGTGCTGGAGATGGTACAGTTAAGAGCACTGGCTGTTCTTACAGAGGACAGGGTTTCAATTTCCAGCACCCACATGGCACCTCACAACTGTCTGCAACTCCAGTTTAGATGCCCTCTTCTGGCCTCCCCAGGGAACACACAAGAGTATGCACAAGAGGTGCAAACATTCATGCAGGCAAAACAAATTTAATATACATAAAATTTACATTAGAATGTATTCTATCTACTCATCATTCATCTGTCTAGAAGACAGAAATATAAATACATATACATACTATATATATTAGGTAAAGTTGGAGATTTTCATGTTCTTCTTGTGTTTCTCTGTGTTTCTGAGGTTTCCATACTACATATTTTCCCCTTTAATCTGGATAAAATCTGTTAAATATGTTTTTACCCCCAGGACTGGGATTACATGTTAAGTGCTCTATCACCAGGAGCTACACAAAAATTGAAGTACTTTCCACATTCGACTATAATTTAGGTTGGACTCACAACACACAAAAGGTAAAATGGGATTATCGAGGATTCAGAGATGCCAGGGCTTGGGGGGAGCACCGACCCCCTGCAGCTTCACCCACACCCACAAACCGCTCTCACCTGTGATGGTGTTGACCACCGTCCGGAGAATGGTGGGGGGCTTTATCAGTTCTTTGAGGATGTTGGACTCAGTAGCCAAGGGGAACCCATTGTCCAGCATCTCTTCCAATACCTCGTAGACCACAACCACATTGTCTTTGATGACTGGCTCTGAACAGACTCCAAAATAGTCCTAGTGAAGACAAAACAAATGTATTCATCACCCTGGCTGTAGGAGAAAATAAAACAATATTCCTGAGAGGAACCTTCTCAAACGTCTCTGTGCTTTTAATTTTTTGTTGTTGATAATTTTTCTTTCATGTGTACAGGTATTATCTGGCTTTGCATGATGTTCATGCAGTGTCCACAGAGGCCAGAAGAGGGCGTCAGATCACCCAGAGCAGAAGGTAACAGACAACTGTGAGTCAGTATGTGGGTGCTGGCAATCAAACCTGGGCCCTCTGAAAAACAGTTATTTCTTTTTCATTTTGTTTTGTGTGTGTGCATGTGTGTGTGTGTGGTTTTTAGAGACAGGGTTTCTCTGTGTAGCAGTCCTGGCTATCCTGGCATCTACTTTGCAGACCAGGCTGGCCTCAAACTCATAGAGATCACCTGTCTCTGCCTTCTGAGTGCTGGGATTAAAAAGGCGAGTGCCACCACCCGGTCAGCTACTGTTTTTAACTGATGAGCCATTTCTCAAGTCTCCTCCTCTATGGTTTTAGGTAGACAACTTTTCTCACTTCCTGGTTTATAGTTATACAGTAACTACTATGACAATAAGACTGTTAATTTATGTATGGATAAGGTACACAGAAATCACATCAGAGCCCAGGTAGAATAGCTGAACAACTTAACTACTGGATTCTTCTGTTTCCTTCATATTCTGAGTTTACAATCTTAGGTTTTCACTATGCAAAGTCACTTGCATGCAGCGTGGAGATTAGAATTCCAAAACAGTATTTGGAGGCAAAAGTGTATTTTAGTTCTCTTACCAATGAAAACAGTTCCAGTCATGTGGTGTGGGAGTGAGCACCCAGGACAGAACAGACTTGCTCTGCTGCTGTCAATCATATGCTCCTCCCCTTTCCTAACTCCACAATCCATGTCTACACCTGGCTATCTCCAGACCTCACAAGGCAGAGAAGTGAAACCAAAGAGCCCTGCTCCTAATTGTGCACCCAAGTAATGCACATAGCCACAAAGTTAAAGTTGAGTGAGCATCAGGATAAAGACTGTGCTGTCTGGATCCAGAATCTGTGCGCAGTGGTACTTCCATGTTGATATGACTCACCTCCCCCTACCGTGTTCCCTCAGAGCAGTGGTTCTCAACCTTGACCTTTAATTCGTGTTGTGGTGACCACCAAACACAACATGATTTTTGCTGCTAGGTCATAACTGTAATTTTGTTACTGTTATGAATTGTAATGTAAATATCTGATATACAGGGTATCTTATACGTGACCCCTAAAGGGGTCACAACCCACAGGTTGAGAACCCCTGCCTTAGAGCTACAAATCAAAATGAAGACCATGGAGTCCCTCACATTTGCACAAGGATGGAGCCCTGTAAGAAGAAGCCATATCAGCACCCATGCTACCTGTACTCAGCTCACTCAAAATGAAGGCAGAACTCACCCCTGCCAGACACAGCTAAAATAAACTTAGCTTTTCCTGTTTGTCTTTTTAGAAAACTTTACACTCATCGCTTTTGGCTACAACTCAAAGCAATGTAGCTAACAATGGTTAGCATAAACGTCACAGTATTAAAAAAAAATCTGAACCCTAATTTGCGAGCAAAATGTAGGAACAAACCTAAAACCACCACACACTCCCACGAAAGAGGCTTAGAAGCATCCAATCGGTCCCTTTACGGCCAACTAAGAGAACAGAAACAGGAATCTTAGATCAGACAGGAAATGAGCAACGTTCAGTTTTGATTTTTTAAAAATGCTACTAACCAAAGCTACAAACAACGGAGACAGGACTACGAAAATACTCCCGCACCCAAAAGATTGAGGCAGGAAGGAGGACAGCTGCAAATATGAGTGTAGCCTGGGCTATACAGCTCAGGCCAGCCTGGGCTATAGAACAAGAGCCTGTCAAAGGGGCTGGGGAAGGAGGGGCTTTTTATGGTTTATAGTTTATATACATAAACCTTCCCACATTTACAAACCTGAAACGTGTCCACTACTCGGTGAAGGAATTCAATGACAAACAGAGGCGGAACCTCTGTCTGAATCACGGCCACAAAGAAGATCTTGTGTCGGTAGACACTCAGGAGGTAGTGGTGCGGCGTGGGGATAACGGGAGGAACGTTTTCGGCCTCCGTGGCCCTCTCCTGGGCCTCAAAAAAGTAATCACAAACAGAGCGACTGACCACACTTTTCCAGTGTTTCTCCAGGAAAATGTCTCCCGAGGAGTTGATCAAGAAAAGACTGTGGATCATGGTGAAGCTTGCTGGTGGGAGAGGAACACCTTTTCCGCCCACAAACCTCTGGATTGGGCCGATTTTCAACTCTGAGAAAGAAAGAAGAAGCTCAATTCAGTTTCACTGGACTAAAAAGTTCTTATTTTCCATTGGTCCAAGACTTTAACCCTTTCTTCCAGACCAGGCTCAAGTCCTCCTCTCACAGGCTCGTCCAACCTTCTGACATCGCAATACGATGCGGTCACCCACAAAGCATATTCCCAAGAACCATACAACCGGGTTATAAAACGCAAGGGGAAAAACAAATCTCCTAATGTTTGAAGTAAGTTTACACGCTGGTGTTGGGATGGTGCTCACAGGACATTCGTAGCTGTCCTGGGCCACATGTGGCCTGCAGGCCATGGACAGGACACACCTGCTACTACATGAGCCCAAAGAGCCCTTGCTTTTCCGTTGTATATTCTCACTTATCTTTATATTGCCTGAACCATATCCACTAAAAACACAAGTTTAAGGCTTGGTAGCTCAGCAGGTGAGGCTGGCTACCAAACCCAGCAACACAAATTCGGTTCCCTGAGACCAGCAAGGCGACAAAGAGAACTGGCTACATGCTCCCCACACGGACACACACAAATACACGTAATTTCTTTTTAAATACCACTTTACCCAGCATAGTAGTACAATACACGCCTGTAATATCAACGCTTTGGGGCTGAGACAGGAGGATCCCAAGTTTGAGGCCAGCCCGGGGTCATTATGTAACAAGAGCTTACATAGCAAGATCCTGTCTCAAAACAAATAAGAAAAAAAAAAAAGAAACTAAACAAATATGGCAGCCACTACCTAAATGGGCACTGAGGATGTCAAACGTGATTGGTGGAACTGGCATTCACTGTAAGATACACAAGGGATTGGGAGGGTTTGGGTGAGAAAAAGAAAGATACAATTTTACATATCTTACCATTAATCTAATACTGGCAATATGCTTGAGTCAAATAAGATATATCACATTTTAACTTATTGTTACCCTATCATGGTTCCTATGCGAAACAGCATAGCTTTCTATTTCTACGGAGCAGAGTTGGACCATGGAATCTTTGCCACTGTGACCTTTTACTCATTTACTCTAACCCTAGTCTCGGAATTATTTGTGCACAAAGCACTTCGTTGGGTGACTTAAAAAAAAAATCTCTGGAGACACCACAGTTTGTCTACAGGCTCCAGGATGAGGCAGCTGCGCTGCACCCCAGGTGGCCTTGAGGCGAAGGGACTGAGAGCTAGCACAAGTGGTCCCATTGCTAAAGCTTGTTTTCCCAGTGCCCCGGGGAGGGCACGGACCGCAGGTGTGCAGGCTGCCGAGGCAGGGAGCAGAGAGGTGGCAGCCTGGCAGCCTAGCATCCTGCACGCCTGGGGTATTGGAGGCCCTCTGGGCCTAGAGGCTCCAGCCTGAAAACTGTCCAGAAGCAAGGACCCTAGTCCCAGGACTGAGCACCTGTGTTGCTATGGCAACAGTGTCTGCAGCCCGCGATTCCTCCCGTACCTCTCCTCGGCGACGCCCAACCCGGCCCTTCCCACCGGCTCTCAGCCCTACCAGCTTGGACCAGGTCTCAGGCTCCGCTCGGGCTCCCGCAGCGCAGTTGCGCGGTGCTCTGCATCTTGCGCGAAGGCCCCGCCTCTTCTTCGCCGCTCGCCCGCTGATTGGCCAGCCGCTCCCCGGCCTCCGCTGCTGAGCTCTGGTTGATCGCAGGTGGCTTGCTAGGTTCTAGCATCCGATTGGCCTTCGTTGAAGGTCCGGCAACCTTCAATTGGTGTAGCCCTATGGTTCCAAGCCCTGATTGGAAGATGAAGACAGCCGGCCATCCAGTCACAAGGGGCCTCCAGGAAGCTAGAAAGTGACTGGAAGGGTAGGGTTACGATTTACCTAATTTAATGCGTCATAGACAACCAATCAGGACTACCCTCCATTACACAGGTGCACTTAAAAAGCGTCTGCGGCCGGGCGTCGTACAGATCTTTAATCCCGGCACTCAGGGTGCAAGCAGGTGTTATCTGAGAGTTCGAGGCCAGGCTGGGCTACAAGGGGAGTTCCAAGCCAGCCGAGGAGTAGGGGGTGGGGGCGGTTGGGAAGGGAGGGGACAAGGAGAGACAGAAACCTACCCTTTTCCTTTCAGAATCTCAGTTCCCTGATCGACAAATAAAGGTGTTTTACAGGTCTTTGATTGAAAGGACATTAAAGTGCTCGGGGTAACAGCGACTCGGAAAGGTGCGAAAGCAGAAGTCAGAGGAAAGATGTACCTTCAGTTATACTAAAATAAGGCTTTCGGTAAGATAAGGTGTGAAAAGCTGTGGTGTGGTGATGTCAGTGCCAATCCAGACCCGTCTCCAGAAGGTCTCCGGCAGTAGCAAACAAACAACAACAACAACAAAACAAAAACAAACAGACAAAATAAATACAGAGGCCCCTTCTCGAACAAGGTTGTCTTTTGACCCCTGCAAAGGCTTCCACGCACAAATGCAAACACGTACTTCACACATGCAAAAAAGATTTCCCCTTTTTGTTTTGTTTTCTTTTTGAGACACGAGACACTTTCTCTGGGTAGCTGGCTAGCCTTGAACTTAAAACTGCTTCTCTGCCTCCCGAGTCCTGGGATTAAAGGCTTGGGCTATAACGCTTGCTATACCCACCCTGCGGGGCCGGGAGGAGGGGGAGGGGGGCTGTAAAAGCAAATTAAAAAAAATAATAATTTCAAAGCTAAAAAATAAAAAGCAATTTGTGACATTGCCTCATAACAGATGAAATTAGAGAAGAAATATTCATCAAATGAAAATTTTTTTCTGAGGAAAGAAAACAGCTTGGATAAAAAACAAAAGTTTTCAAGTAACATACTATTTTCTAAGTAGTTATTTAGATAAAGATGGCCCTCAGAAGGGAAACCCAAACCTCTGCTTTGCAAACTCTGCAGTGTGCCAGACCCGGCTACTTCCTGTTCATCAAATGTGGTTTGTGTGTGTGTGTGTGTGTGTGTGTGTGTTTGGCCAGTGAAGAACAGAAAAACTTCCCTCTGTCAAGTCACCCGCCGGACTTCTTGTCTGTGTTTGGCTTACTCCGTATTCCCTGAGTGTTTCAGATGGCCCTTTTTATCATTTGATATTGGTTTTCAAATTTCATTAAAAATCGACTCAGTGCGTTGTGATGCAGCTGCTCACACTCTTCTTCCAGCGTCTTCCTGTATGAAATACAACATTGAGCAATCTATGACCACTCCCGCGGACCTGAAAAGTGACTGCTTACAACTCATTGTATGCAGTGCTAGATTCCTCTGCACAAGCACCCCAGCCTATTTTTCTCGTCACACTGTTCTGCCTTCTCTCTCTTGATCTTTTGCTCCAAGGCTGTACTTTTTTTTTTTTAATTTCCAGGCAGATCTTGTAAGTCCCATTGGTCCCCGTTTTAGAATTCCTCAGACAGCTTATAGATGCGTGGACCTAAAAGGACCCCCAGACTTCCAAATTCACACGGCAGTCAAAGGTTGTTTTCTGGCTCCTTAAAGTTTTGATTTTTTTTTTTTAAAAAGGTCCCCAATAGAAAATAGAACGTAAATTTTGAGGAACTCATCAAAGTTAATAGAAAATATTTGAAAGTACATAATCATTTAAAATAAGAAGCATCTGGGTAAAAAAAAAAGGCAGAAAACACGTCCTGATTGTTTACATAACCATCCTGTCTTTTTCAGCCAAGAAAGCTCTAGCTGCTGAAATGTTGAGCGCCACTAGAATAGTGACAATAGCCAGACCCCTATTACTTTTGCGCTGCGGCGAACTGGGCAGTAAGCGCTTCGCCACGGAAGGTGGCGCTGCGGGGCCTGAGGGAACAGACTTTTCTGGACCCAATCCGGACGGTTGAAAAGAAACTTGGGATTTCTACAGTGAATTCCCGGGGGTGACTCCTCTCCAGTCCACCACAAAGGCGGGAAATAAAGCGGGCCCCCGGGGACAAAGCGGCGCCTCCACCCACGCAGCTGCGGGGCGCCGGGCGGAGGGGAGGAGGGAGGAGGCTGGCGGAGGTCGGTTGCCATGGCGACGAACCAGCATCTGAAGCCGCTGAAAGGACTCTTTGTTTTGAAGCCAGCTGACGGGTGGTGCGGTTTCTAAGGTACTTCTCAACGCCTCGGTCCAGGGGAGGCGAGTCGAGCCGGAGTCACCTGGGATGCGCTGCGGGGACAAGCGGCTCCCACGCGGCTGGCTCTCCGATGGCGCCGGACACCTGCTTCCCGTCCGCTAAGCTAGCCGCGGTTCCGCAGATTCTTGCTAAGGACTGGGCGAGCGGGCTCAGGAAAGCCACACAGAATCGCGTCGCTGGAAGAAAACCAGAAAGGGACCACCATAGAGAGACTAGAAGTTGCGGGAGCTAGTTTCTCTACCGTAAGAGCCGGTCCCTGGGGACGAACTGAAGATGTGTATGGTATGGGGTGGTGTGTGCGAGCGCAGGCGTGTGTTTGCATTTCAGGAAGTGGTTGCTTAGGCAGCTGTGAGACAAGCGGCTGGAGAAGGGGAAACGAAAACTCTCCGAACAGCCTGCAGCTTTCAGTTTTGCCTGGTGTACTAAGCATTATCTGTAGAAGCAAAAGCAAAAGTTTAAACAGGAAACTTAAAGCTACACCCAATACTCTCTGTCTAATGGGATTTGGAACACTTGAGGGCATCTGAACCTTTATTTAATACTTCAATATGTCTTGAAAATGTGCAGGCATAAACTAATACTATTAGCCCTCAGACAGGTAAAGGTGTAGTCAAAGGCAAACCATACAGAAAAACCTGTCTTCTCGTCTTATAGGATGTGAAAGGAGCCCTCAATGATTTGAGGAGCAGATTGCATAATCCACAGACTGTAGCGTTCTTTCACCCCCTAGAGACAGTTTGTAAGCAGGGAAGGATTGTCTCAAAGGTTTGGGTCTCCAGTCTCTTGGTTTGAGGCTTGTGGCCAAACCTATTGGGGAGTGGGGGTGGAGGAGCCACTACTTTCGCTGTTTTCACTACAGTGGGAAGCAAAGACAGAGATAGGACAGGGTCTACCTTCCAACACCCTTTTCAAAAACACACTCCGATGTTCTGCTTTCTCCCAGTAGGTTCCTCTTCCTGGTTCAGTCACCTTCCAACACATCATGAACTGGGAATCAAACCTTCAATACATAGGCTTTTTTTTTGGTGGGGGAGGGGAGGGGGGTTTCTCGGATCTTTACTATAGCACCTCTATTTATTGTAATATAAAGTAACCACAGGGACTTTAAATTAAGCAGATACAATTTTTTTCTCATTACAAAATGGTGTATTATCAGTGAAATACTTTTAAAGAATTTAAGAAAGAGAGAAGGAACACGAGGTTGGGTGAGTGAGGTGGTGAGGATCTGGGAGGTGTTGTGTGATCCAATCAAATAAAAAATAAACGTAAAAATGTATCTTACTGTGTGTGTGTGTGCATGCACACACCTCCACAACACACGTGGAGGCCAGAGGACAGCTCTCAGGAGTCAGTTCACCCCTTCCCCCTTCTGGGATCTGGAAGGGAAACTCATGTCCTCGGGTCTGCACACAGGCACCTCCACCCATGGACCACCTCGCCAGCCTGAATAATGAACTTTTGAATGCCAGTGTCACGGATGATCTTTCTACACAGACAAAAATAGTTTCCTTAGGGTGACAAAGGTGACCAACAGGAGAGAAAAGAGGTAAGCAAGGGGAGGGTGGAAGGAATAGGCTCAACATGTACAAAAGCTTGAAAAGAAATTAAAGAATTTAAAAATAATATCCTTAGCAATTAATGCATAGTGATTTTGAGTTTCATCTACTGAACACTTGTGTTCCTCATGGAGAACTATGTCAAGAATTTGATGGACATTATTTCATCTATGAAACTTTTCTTATTTTACAAGGGAAGAGACAGCTATATTCTCTAATGACCCAAGTTTCAGACAGCTAAGGCAGCGACAGTGTGGGTTTGAAATCATGTCTGAAAGCCCGAACTGTCAGCCCTCAGACATCACATACCATAGCCGGAACTGGCTTATGAACGTGACTGCCACTGTTTTCCTTACATTTAAAAGAATTGGGGCGAGAGTGATGGCTTAGTGTTAAGAGCACTTTTCATTCTTACACAGGACCCGGTTATGATACCCGGTACCCACATGGTGACACATAACCAACCACCTTTATCTCCAGTTCTCGGGGATTGGATGCCCTCTTCTGACCCCTGTGTGCTCCTGCATGATCATAATACACCTAGGCATGCACACACACACACACACACACACACACACACACATTTTAAAGAAAGGAATTGTATTAGTGTGTTAGCCTTTACAACGCTTTACTGCCCTGGAAAGCAGAGAAAGTCGTGCAAACTTGGAGAGAACATACACTATCCAAGCTGATAGTTGCCTGTATACCTGGAGTAGGAAAATTGATGTTGAGAGGAAGTGCACCCCCGTTACCACCTTCTCTCAGTCTGGGTCCCTTTCCCGGGACAGAGCAGTAGCTGTTGCTCCCTTGTTGCCCAGCTGTGAAGGTTCTAAGTTTCTGCTGTAGCTATCATCCAAGTAAGAGTCAAAAGCTGTAGGTGTACTTAGGCAGCAAGCCAGATGACTTTGAAACTTTGTTTCTTTAAGCTGGGAAGAAGTCTCTTGGAAGCTCCTCCACCCAGCTAATAGCTGGCTTGTGTTGACTTGTTTGAAAGCATTCATGGAATTGGCCATAGTACAGAACTCTTAGGAAGCACAGAGAATTCTTCTGTGCAATTATGGTGGAACATTAACTCCATTCAATGTCACTCATAAGCTTAGGAAAATGTAACTTCTAGCTGATAAAACTGAGATCCTGATTATAGAGTTCAGGTGGGTAGTATGTGGGAACCTACATTTCTTTCACAGTTTTGGTATGTTTGAATTTTTTTCTAATCATGTTGGGAAAAAGACAGATTCTTATCCAAAGCCTCTCTTTTCTCCAATTTTATGAGGAAAAAAAAAGATTGAAATTTAGAGAATCGTTAGACTTTTTTTTGTTTAAAAACACATATAATTACTCTCTCAAAAACCTTCATCAATTAAGATCACAAGGACACTATGGATGATAAAAATACAAGATGAGATTTCAGAAACTAATAATTTCAGAGGCCTTTTCTTGGGGCTCAAGACACTTGGTGGGAAGTATTTGAACACTTTCTAATAAAACAATTCCCAGCATCATTACGGGTTATCAGTGAATGAATGACTAAACACCGATTGCCCGTGGGAGGTGAGGGTGGAATGTTGCCCTCCTCCACTCCGTTTTCAATGCACATCCCTTCCTTGTTCCTGTGCATTAAATCGCCATCTCCGCACACGGTCGTCTGGCGGGAGGTCCTGAAGAGCTGACCACATAGATCAGTGCCTATGCAGCTCCGTACATTCCTTAATCGTGACAAGAATGCTTTCCTCTCTGCCATGGCTGCCAGCTCCTCACTGATTTCAACTCTGCCCACATTTCAGCACACATATAAATAGAAGATAGGACGTAACTAAGGAACATTTTGTATTAGCTGATTTTCCTGAATGGCTATTCTTAGCTTAGTAATAATTTTCATAGTAATATATTGATATAGCACCCCTAACCCCAGCTCCATACTTCACCAAACTCTCATGGTAAGGGTACACGGAGCTAAGTATTTATTCACTAAACTGGAGAAAAAGAAAAGTAGAAGAGGAGGAGATGAAACTAACAAGAGCTGAAATTAATGCAAATGAATATGAGTCATATAATCACAGTTATACAAAAGATTTGAAAATAAAACTTTTCTTTATAGGAGTCTATGGAAATTAATTGAAATAGCTTTTTCCAAGCATTTTCTTAGTGTCTCAAGAAAAAGAAAATCAGAATGGTCCATTATAACAGAAGAAATGGCAAATATAGTTAGACATCATCTATTAAAATATGGTAAAATAAACACTCGGGATGTAAAGGCAGGTGGATCTTTGTGAGTTTGAGGTCAGTCTGGTCTACAGAGCTAGTTCCAGGACAGACAGGGCTGTTACAAAAAGAAACCTTGTCTCGGAAAAAAAAAAGAAAGAAAAGAAAAAGAAAAATATGGTAAAATATTACGAATGAGAACAAGATAATGTGAAAAAATAATAACAAGGAATAAGAAATTTTCAGAGCTTAAGCCTAGGAAATCTGCAGATACAGGGTGGGGGTAAAAAAAATTAAAAACAAACAGCAACAGCAATAGCAATCAAAATCCAGTTAGAACACAGAAGACCAATGCAGAGTCTGTCTTCCCAACAGGAATACTATTGGTAAGAAAAATAGGGTGGAAGGAAGCTAAGTGAAAAGACAGTAATCAACATCTAAATTGAAGCAATCACTGCATATCCAGGTCAAGGAATGAAAACAAATCCATAGAAAAGGAAGTGTCTAAAACCTTCATAGGTTTTTGTTTGTTTGCCTGTTTTTGTTTTTGTGGGGGTGGTTGGGATTTTTTTTTTTTTATTGTTGATGTCATGAGACAGCATCACACTGTGTAACTTTGGATGGCCTGGAACTTGTGATGCCGACCAGGTTTGGCCTCTGAAAGGCTGGGATTA